AATCATAACAGTTGGTATCAGAGCGATTGGATCCAGATTCTAGAGCGATTGATGAGTTGGAGCAATCATCATCATCTGGTGAGGTACTCGAGTTGAGTTTCATTGCGATTCATCATCTTCAGGGTTGATGGTAGTGAGTGTGTGGCGAGAAAAATTTGACAGAGGGTGACTCACTCCTGTCTAGGTTGAAGCAGGAGTGGTTGGCGATTGTGTCTCAGAGGCCTGGGAGGCTATGAGAGGCTATTTTAGCCTGGCGATTGGAAAAGGAGGGATCCCAAGAGGTAGCGATTTTGGAATTGGGTCAAGATCCCCAATTTCCAAGCAGCGCAGTACAAGGTGATGTGGCGCTGCACTGAGTTTGTCAGTTATCTGCACCTGGGAGTTCAAATTTAGCGAACCTGTCAGTTGGGGGTGAAGCGCCTCAGGGTAAACTGATGGATCACCAAGTTTCAGGAGATTTGATACGTGATGAAACTGGCGAGATAGGGTTGACCAGTCAACCATAGCTCAAGTTTCATTCATCTTCTTCAGAGTTGATCCTGAAGTAAGTGTGTTCCTTACTCTACCCTGTGTGGCGATTCTGGGTCTATTTTTATAATAGTGAAATATGGTATGTCAGTGGGTTGACAGTTGAAAATTGAAATTCATACTGTGGGACAGCCATATCCGATTTCCCCTACCTCTCACCTTTGACTTCTACTAACCCTGTTTGACCTCCTTTCTGACTCAAATTTCATCTGGGACTGCTTTACAACATTGCGATTCATACTGTGTAGTGAATTGGTGTGTTCAGGGTCCTGTTGTCAGTGATAATGCAAAATTGAATTTTGTGCTGCCATAGTTGAAGCTTGGCTAGACAAGGTTCAGTCATAACTTCAATTTTGTCCGTCAGAATTCAATTATGTCAGTCCCTGGTAAATCGCAATTCAGTATACAGTCAGAGTCTGAAATCGCACAATGTAATCTGAAATTCTGAGTCAGTTACAATGTTTGCTGTAATCAGCCATACCCATTGTATGGCATACAGAGTCATACAGTGGTGAAGTCAGTAGGGTAGGTCTACAAATAGGATACCCTGTAAATCGTTGCACCTTGGTCACCAGTGGATACCTGCCTATCCCTAATTAGTCACTCTGTCTAACTTCTAATCACTACTAATCAGTCCACGATTACATCCTGCAACTTATTGACGCAGAATTTGCAATTATTGCGTGCAATTGTTGTGTCAGGGCAGGGATGGGAAAATCGTGAAGTGGATTTTTGTTGAGTTTACTCTAAACTGACCTTGACCCTCGAGCGGTCTACAGAGACTGAGCACTTACTTGCTCAAACTAACTAACTTCCTCTCTCCAGGCAGGTGATAGCAATTGAGTAAGTACGGAAGGGAAAACTCAATTCTTATTACCTCCTATTTGTCTTTTGTTTATGTGTTTACTTCTATTTATCTGAATTGTGGGGTAAATTAAAATGTCTGGTTTAGAGAAGGCAGAAGCTTATGACGAGAATCCTCAGCTTCCTCTCTCCCCTTTGGAGGCTGAACTGCTGGCTGAGGAGGAGAAACTCCGGAAACAGGCCCAGATAGTTGAGGCTCTGAAGGCAGAGATGAAGCGTAGAGAGGAGGCTGATCAAAAGGAAGCCAGAAGAAAACTCCTCATTGCAGATGTTGGAAATATCAAAGTTAGTGGAAGTGCCAGTCAGTACAATAAGGACATAACTGAGTTCGTCCTGTTGCAGGATGATATCAACCGGACTTATTTTACTAACTAGACGCAAGGATCTCCAGCCTGGAAGTTCAACTGTCAGATCATTCCAAGAAATTGGATGATATCTCTTCCAAGTTGGATCGCCTTTTTACTCATTTGCAGATTCCACCTACCCTGACTGTTCCTCCATCTCTTGGGGGTCCCCAAGCGGGACCTCAACAAACCCCACAATCCAGACACACATCTCCTCCTTCTACACCCAAGTCAACAACCACCTCACATCCCTCAGCTCCCTTTGATCAGCAGCGGCCAAAGCTGACCCCTCCACCTATGTTCTCTGGTGAGGACCCAAAGGTGGATGTTGCAGATTGGGTCACTGCACAGCGAACCTACCTGAGTGGGTTCAAGTGTGATGAGGATGTGAAGGTGAGTGTCATCCTGGCTCGCTTGGAGAATAATGCACTTCTACCTCTAGCAAGCAGGGGATGGAAATGTCTGATTGGGCGCAGAGGCTGGGGGTGGCTGGATTTCTGCAGGCACTGCAGGACCAGTTTGCAGACAAGGAGCAAGCCAGAAAAGCAGCAGACAAAATTCTACATCTGGGCTAGAAAAAGTTTGATGGCTCCTTGTCCAAACTGTACTCCACCTTTGAGAGTCTCACATCGACTCCTGGGTTGGAGATGAGCGAGCAGGATCTGCTCATTCATTTCCTCAGGGCAGCGCCTGAGCAATTCCAGTTAGCCTTGCCACAAGGATTGGCGGTCCTTTGGCAGAGCAGCCCCGGACTTGGAGTCCAAACTCCATGTCCAGGAAGCACCTTCTGAAGGAAGGAGGGGACCCTCCTCAAAGGGGCGAAGAAAGAGGAAGGGTGCTCTGTTTGCTGCTGCAGCTTCAGATTCAGATAGTGATACAACATCCCAGGGTGGGACTCATCCACCTGGGACTGCCTCATCATCTGCTGCAGATTTTGTTGTTCTTGCCCTGGTTGATGCTTTGATGAGCATGGCAAGGGGTAAAGCCCGATCCCAGAAAGCACCAACCAGCAGCAAGGGGAAAGGTAAGGGACGTGCCTCTTCCCCTACTGCCCAGAGAGTGCCTTTACCATGTGACGTCCGCTGGCCAGCTGACCCCCTTGATCCTTCCACCTTCCCTTGGCATGCACTCAGGATCCAGGAGGGGGTATGGAGGAAGAGAAAGGACAAGGGTGTCTGCCTGAGGTGGGAGGGGGACCATTTCTTAAAAGACTGTTCCAACATGCCTCGCAGATCCACAGGCAGCTCTAGTTCAAAAAACTAGAGCAGAGAGAGGTGGAAGCAGCAACTCCTTCCATCAGTGTTGATTCACTTTCTGATGAACGCGAATCTTCACATTCTCTCGCCGGTTTTTCTGTTTTTGGAGTTGCATCTTCAGGGTCTTTCTTTTTCGAAGACTCTGAGATGGATGAGACGTGGGAGGAGGATGATGCTCAGTGCTTGGCTGATCTTTTCCTGTCCTTGCAGGAGAAGAAAAAACACAGGTCATAACTCATCCTACTTCGAGCCTCCATCCTGGGAGGCAGGATCAAAGGGCTCTTGGATTGTGGGGCTACTCGCAACTTCATATCTCCCAAGGCAGTCAGTAAGCTGCACTTGGATCAAAGACTTGTGAAATTGCGACAACCTATAGAGGTTCACATTGGGGACTCTTCCACAGTCAGGATCACTACTGTTGTCTAAGGCCTACCTGTGACCTTTGATAAGTAGGGAGAAATCAGGCACCGCCTGAATTTCTATGTGTTTCCTAACGTTCCCTTTTATCTTGTCTTCTCTATGCAGTGGCTTGGTGCCACCAAATCCTAGGATCGACTAGCGGATCCCTAGGGTCGAGCTACCTAACCGGCATGGGGTCTATCGCCCTTGTTTACTCACAGACGAGTACAATCCGGTCAGTAGTGTTTGTTGATCTTGTTTGCTTGTTGTTCTTGTGTTCTTTCGAGGGCTTCGGTTGCTTCTTGGAGGAGTCGATTCATTGTTGCTACCCATTCATTGAGGGAAGGGCAGGGTGTGGAGGGGTTGAGTTGCGAGGGAAGCAGGAAATCAAAGGGCAAGCGCGGATGGTAGCCAAGATCAAGGTAAAATGGAGACATGACAGTGGAAGGACAGACAACGTTGTTGTAGGCGATCTCGACGGCGGTGAGCAACTGATCCCAGTCGTGTTGATGTGGATGACAGTACTTCTGTAGGATTCTTTGGAGAGTATCGTTCATCTTCTCAGTTTGTCCATCGGTCTATGGGTGGAATGCAGTGCTATACTTGAGTGTAGTTCCATAGGCGTTGAAGAGTTGTTTCCACAACTGTGAGAGGAAACGGGAATCGCGGGCGCTGATGATATTATCGGGGAGGCCGTGGTGGCGTGCAACATGGTCGAAGAAGAGTAAGGCGATGTTTTTGGCGGTGTGCGAGGTGGTGCAAGGGATGAAGTGGGCGCGTTTGGTCAGGCAGCAGACAATGACGTAGATGCAATCATGCCCGCGGTCGGTCTTAGGGAGGTCCATGGAAATGGACTACCACCGGTGAGTGGGGATGGGCAATGATTGGAGCTTGCCGGGTTTGGCCCGGTTCGAGGGTTGACAGCCTGACACGTGGGACATGAGCGAATGTATGTTTCGGCGTCGGCGAGTAGAGACGACCAATAGAAGTAGCGGGAGATGGTGTCGAAGGTTTTCTGGACACCGAGGTGACCTGCAGTCTTGGCGTCGTGGTGGTCGCACAAGAGCTGGGTACGGAGACCACGTGTGTCACGGATGCACAGTCGGCGAGTGCCTTTGGTGTCGATGTGGAGGAGGTTGTCGTGGAGGGAGTAGTCGGGGACTGGGTCAAGATCGCGGAGCTTGTTGTAAATGGCGGTGAAGTTTGGGCAAGAGAAGTACCCTTGGGGGTATCGGTGATGGAGTGATGGGAGGAGCTAGATATGGGTCATGGCGGCGTAGACTTTCTCGGGGGGCTTGTGGTCGGGTCGTCGAGAGAGGGCATCAGCAACGCGGTTGCTTTTGTCGGGGGTATGGCAAATGGTGAATGTGAACCGGGCAAGGAAGTCGAGTCATCGAGCTTGGCGTGGGGTGATGTCTTTCTTGGTGAGGATGGAAGAAACAATGGTGTTGTCAGTGCGGATGGTGAGGTATTGCCCGTCGAGGCACGGGCGCCAGACTGTGAGGGTGTGAATCACGGCGAGGAGTTCCTCTCGTTGGAGGGGTAATTCATCTTCGCGGGAAGGAGCTTGTTGCTTGCGAAGGCGATGGGGTATTCGTCGGGTGGAGCCTCGGGGTGAGTGGGCGAGTCCTTGATGGAGGGGGTCTCGACGGTGTCACGGGGGAAATGTTGGGACAGTACGGCTCCAATGGTGAAGTCGGAGGCATCAATGGTGACATAGAAATTGCGAGTGGGGTCGGCGATCTTGAGGACAAGGGCCGTGTTGATGGTTTGTTTGAGGAAGTCGAAAGCGTGTTGGCGGCGATCGTTCCAATTGAAGGGTTCGTCCTTGCGTGTGAGTTCGTGGAGAGGGTAAGAGATCTCGGAAAAATTGCGAATGAACAGGCGGTAATAGTTGGTAAGGCCGAGGAAGGAACGAAGTTGGAGGAGGGTCTTGGGCGGGGGCTGCTCGACGAGGGCTGTGACCTTCGAGGGGTCCATACGGATGCCTTCAACGGAGACAATGTGGCCAAGGTATTCGACGCTCGAAGCGGCAAACGTACATTTGTTGAGCTTGGTGTACAATTTTTGCTCTCGGAGGATCGAGAGGACTTGGCGAATGTGTTGAAGGTGGGACTCGAAGGTGGGGCTAAAGATGAGGATGTCATCAAGGTACACGGCGACACAGACTTCGAGGAGGTCACGGAAGATGTGGTTCATGGTGGATTGGAATGTGGCGGGGGCATTGGTGAGTCTGAAAGGCATTATGAGGAACTCGTAGTGCCCGAACCGAGAGCGAAATGCAGTCTTGTGGGTGTCCTCCTCGCGGATACGGATCTGGTGGAAACCACTGCGGAGGTCGATCTTGGTGAAATATTTGGCTCCACGGAGGCGATCAAGAAGTTCAGATATCCGGGGGAGTGGGTACTTGTTCTTGATCGTGATCCGGTTCAAGGCACGATAGTATGTGCACATGCGGAGTTCCGAGGTACCGTTCTTCTTGAAGGGGGAGGAGCTAAGCGTAATGAATCCTTTTTCAAGGAGTTCATTGAGCTGGCGCTTCATTTCTTCGGCCTCGGGGACAGAGAGTAGGTACGAAGGGCGGCAAGGAGGAGAATGGTCGGGCTCGAGATCAATGGTGTGGGATACACCTCGATCGAGAGGTAAACCGGCGGGCAAGGACTCGGGGAAGAGGTCCTTGAATTCAGAGAGGAGAGCGGTGATGTGAGGATCGGAAGGGGGGTCTTGGTCGGGCTTATCCGTTGGAAGCAAGTTCTCGGGACGCTCGTGGTCGATAACAAGACAATAGTAAGCGGAGTCGGGGTGTTCACAATATATGTGAAGGAACTGGTGAGGGGAGATAGGGGGTGGGGTAGAAGGGGGGAGAAGGTAAGGGATATCAAGAGGAGAGTCAGGAGGGGGGGTGAGTCAGACGAAGGAGGGGTGGAAGAAGTAGGGCATGAAACGGTCAAGCCATGGAGTCCCCAAGACGATGTCGCACATGAGGTGCATGACATCGAAGGAGACCTGACTGCGAAGAGGACCGACAATCATGAGGGTCTCGGGGACAGTGTGATCGACAACGATGGCTGAGTCCTTATCCCCTAGTCGGATGGTGATCGGGGAGTCATAGCTGGTGGAAGAGAGGCTGGCTTTGCAGACACAGGCTTCGGTGATGAAGTTGCAGGTGACACCAATATCAAGGAGGGCCCGGAACTTCACCGTCGATGTGCCAAGGGAGACGACGATAAACCTGAGCTGGAACTGTGCGGTTCCGACACAAGCAGAAGAGATCATGGTGTTGAGGCGGCGTTGTTCCAAGCCTAATCTAACAAGACGATTGTGTCGTGCTTGTTCCTCAACGAGATCGGAGAAGGTGGTAGAGAAGGGGTTAGGGATGAGAGTAGAAGAGCAGGTGTCAGTGGGAAGCTCGACCGACTGGATAGCAGACGTCATCGGGAGGGGGGCGGGCGGAGTAGATTGCGTCGCCTGGGGGTCGTCCGATGGGATGTGCGTCACCGGAGGGGGGTAGGCAAACGGATAGTTGATGCCAAGTGGGCCACCGGTGGAGGAGAGATCGTCTTCGATGGGAGAGTCGGCAGACAAGTGGTCGATACTGGGGGAGGATTGCAAGAGACAAGAGGACAGTGTTCAGGTGGAGGAGGGTCCGACTGTCGCGGTGGAGGAAGAAGTGGGAGTAGAAGAGCCGTGTCCCACGGAGCGAGGGGGCTGTCGAGTAAAGCGACTAGCGTTGGGGCAGCTGGTCTGTTGGTGACCTAACTGACGGCAGCGAAAACACCAGTTGTGTTCCTGGAGGTATATGCGTTCTGCAGGTATAAGTTTCTGGAGACGGCGGGGTGGAGAGGAAGAAGGCGGTCGGGAGGCACGATCCTGGCGTTCCATCCACATAAGGTGGGCGGCCTGAAGGTCCTCAATGGTGAATTGGGAGGGGTCGAGAGAGACAGTGTCGAAGTTGTCATCAGAGGTGGGTGGAGTGGTGTCGTCAGGGGTGATGTTACGGAAGAAGCGGGGCAGGAGGGAGCGAGCGCAAAATGGTGATGGGGGTGGAGGAGTCGATCGTGGTGAAGCATGCGAGAGAGGAGGTCAACAAGGGGCATGTCGGGTTCGTGGGCGAGGGCGGTTGCAAGATCTTTGTGGCATACTCGCTTGATGCGGGAGATGAACGCAAAGT